CATATGTATGGCCGCGTTGCAGGGCGCCCCGCCCCGCCTCCCGGCACTTGCCAGGATTACCAGCCGTCCCAGCCTGCTCAACGTAATTCTACGAGGCCGCGGCACTGCGGTCGCACCCCTTTCAGGATAGGGAGAGAGAGAGAGAGAGAGAGAGAGAGAGGTGAGCGCGCCAGCCAGCCAGACCGCCGCAACGCGCAAATGATCACGGGGCAGAGTATTCACTTTGAGCGCACAGCGAAGGGGGGTCTGGCGTGGCGAGGCGTGGCGTGCGGCGTGGCGCTACGAAGCGGAGACGGGTGGGGGGGGGGGAGAAATAATTCGGAAAGAGTGTGCGACCGACTCGGCTGCTCCTCCGCTTGGCCAGGCCCGCTACGCCACGCCACGACCCTCTGGAAAATTGCATACAACCTCTGCCACGCCCGCCGCCACCGCTCCGCCACCGCCCCACCACCCCGGCCCCGCCGTGGCCGCGTTCAAAGGGAATACAGACTCAGCCGCGCGCAGCGGCGTCGGTTCATCTCCTGCCATCCCCTGCCGCCCTCCCTCGCTTCCTCCACCCCATCCTCCCCATCCTCACGAGCAAGCCGGGGTAATTAACACCACGGAAAAATAAGCACGGGATCACTAAAGACGAGGAAGCGTGAAACATTTACCTAACCACAATATAACTAGCTACGTATGGACGCCATAGAACAAGTCTCGCGTAACAGGCCTCGGAAAACACGGTTAGGCTGCGGCGCCGACAGCCGAGCGGAGTGATGACATTCCTTAAATCAAATCATGTTAACAGTCTGATAAAAATAGCCAGACAGACAGGCATTCAGATAATGATCGCGAAACTGTTCTGGTTACTGGAGTACGTTCAGCGAAAACAAGAAAATCGTGCGGTGCGGTAACGGCTGGCGGCGAGCGCCTTACGGGCGGGGGGTAGGCAATCCCGCACGGCACGGCGGCACTGCTGGCCTGCCTACCTGCAGGGGTCCGTGCCAACTGCTGACCACATCATGCCAACCGAACGAGAGGAATGGGACGGGGCGGGTCGAGTATGATATGAGTAAGAGAGAGAGAGAGAGAGAGAGAGAAAGAGAAAGAGAGAAAGAGAAAGAGAGTGAGAGAGAGAGAAAGAGAGTGAGAGAGAGAGAAAGAGAGTGAGACAGAGAGAGAGAGAGAGAGAGACGAGGGTGACAGATCGGCGCCAGGCCAGCGGGTCGCTGCAGGTCTAATGATGGTTCCGTGTTGCGTCACGCCGCGATACTCATAAATCAAAAAGCAACAACCAATATGACTGGCGTGTCGGCGGCGAGGAACCTCCACCTCCACGGCCCCGGCGACCTCCCGCCGGCTGTTGTTCGCGCCCGGGGCAACGGCGGAGCGCGGCGGGGGCGGTGAGAGCGGGGGCGGCCCCACTGGGTGTGTTTGAAGCATCGGGTTCGAGGGCGATCCCCCATCAATCACACTCTGTACAGCATAGGAGAGGCGCGCACGGGCGGTGCGTGGGAGAGTTGGGAGAGTGTTGAGTGAGAGAGTGAGAGAGAGAGAGAGAGAGATCCAGCGGGGGCAGCAGCAGGCCGCGGACCAATCTAGTTGATAAAACGAGTTTAGCGAAAAAACACGTGGATGAGTATGACGATTCATTCCATTATTGAAGCATTTTGCAATGATACCTCGCGCCGGCTCACGCGCCGATGCCGCGAGTGACAGGGACGGTATGTTTGCCGAGGTGGCGGCGATCGGGCTGCTGTGTTTGCGTCCGAACAGCAGTAGAGCGCGTGGGGCGAGGTGGCAGCTGTCATCCCCTCTGGGAGCCAGCGCCGCGCCAAGACGCAGACAGTACACAGAGCGACACAGTGCGCCCCTAAAGTCTAACAAAGCTTCGATTTTAAAGTCCACAGACCTTCGATTTATATTACAACAAAAGCGACAAAACGTGTATTAAAAAGCAAAACATTTCTTTTAATTAAACAAAGCATCGCTTTTGCGAAGCATTTGCTTCGTACAGTACTTACAAAGCATTGACTCGAATTTACACAGAAGTTACTGTAATGCTCCGAAGCGAGGGGGCCGCCACTCCTGAAATCATGTGTACGCCCTCCCTGAAATCCTCCCGAAATCATTTGAAATCCACCTGCAATCATGAAATCATGCGTAATCTGCCAGCAAATTTTAGTCTGAAATCCTTACAAGGTCATGTAAAAACCGCCGGAATCACGTAAAATCCGCCGGAATCTTGTGAAATCCGCCGAAATCCGGTAAAATCCGCTGAAATCATCTGTAATCCGTCAAATCAGACATAATCTGCCGGCAGGTTTTAGCGTGAAATCTTCTAAAATAATATGCGAAATCCGTGAAATCATGTGAAATCACGCAATCTTTGCAATCATGTGTACATCCAAAGAGAGAGTGGTGGCCCCTCGCTCCGAAGGCTACAAAGCTACCGCTTTCTACGTTACGAGGCAAAGGCTTTGTAGAATTTTCAGAGTGCCTGGACGCCCCCATCAACGTCACCTTGCTGCTGGAGCTGAGGAATGCGAGGACTCGAGGTATGCCGGGGGGCCGACACAGAAACGAGAGGACGAGCGTTGTATGAAATAGCAGCGCATTGATTGCATCAGCCGGTATCAGCCGCCCCGCCCAGGGCGCACGACCAAAACTTCCTCTTGCAGTCTTTCCATCATTCCTTGTTACCTAAGCCTGGGCCCGAGGGAAGGGGGGGGGGGGGGCGCTGGGCTGCCGACCTTGTGTGTGTGGCGGGCGAGCGAGGACTATATTGGTCCATCGGGCACAACCGCTTATCGGGAGGCCAGTCTCGGTTCACCTTGCTCGTAAGGTCTAGCTTTTACTCAGACACTGTGGACGACGGTTTTGACCTCGGGTTCCCCCCGAGCGAAGACCTTTGGCAGCAGAGAGCCTTGCTGGCTGCTCGGTCGGCCCGGTAACGTCTGTGCGGCAGGCTGCTCGGGCTGCCTGCCTGCCGGGCCGGCTGGCTGTTTGCCCGGGTGGATAACAAGATGGAGCAATCGCGCGCGTTTCGGAGAACCTATCCGTCATGGCCCCTGGGGCCCTCCCCGCCCCGCCTGGAGCCGAGCTGGAGCCGGGCTGCATGTGGCTGCCGGACGGACGATCATCGGCGAGACAAAGAGCCCCCCCGGTCCCAGCCCGGCCTCCCGGGCCGCCGCCGCCCCAGGCAGGACCGACAGCAGGATGAATTTGCTTTCATCCCCAGTGAGGAGGAATATTTCAGAGCATCATCGCGAAGGAATGAGCCTCGCCTGCAAGTGCAGCTGTGCCTCTCCAGCGCTTCTCTCGCGGGAGTAGAAGCCACTCCCAGGTGATCATCGTCGTCTTCACGCCCGCCGCGCCGGTGGCGTAAACGTGAACCATGCCTCTCTGTTTATGCGGATGCAATTACTGTTTGTGACGGTGAACCAGACAGCTAAATGCACAAGGAAAAAAATAACAAAAGCTGAGCTGTGAAGCGGACATGCATTTTTAAATGTCAAAACTAACTATCGCTAATTATTTTATATTTTTTAGGTTTAGCTTGATCAACTTTAAAACTTTTTTGGGTTTGCGTCCTGAACTTTGCAAACTTCAGTTTTTCGACAAAACTGGATAGCATCTCGGCTAGCATCCACCCTCTGTCTTTTAGTCGCAACAACTTAATGCATACTTAGATTTACAGAGCCGTTGTTGTGAATGGTTTTCTCCCCTGTTCCCCGACCCCAGGGCTGGCTGCGACTGGCGCTGCGACACCCGCAATGCCTGACCGCGCAACAAATTAATTTCGCCCGGACGCGCCGCGCAACTCGTCGTATTAACCGTGAACTACCGCTGCCGTTTTTGTGGTTATTCTTTATTATTATTTTTTGTGCCCCAGCAGCGGCAATTTGAAAGTCGAGTACCTCAAGCAATCAGCGGTCGGTCGGTCGGTCAGGGCCGGGCGGGCGGGCACGGCCGGGCCGCGGCAGAAATTAGCGCCAACACGCGACTAACAATCCGTGCGGAAAATAGCGTGCACACACCCCCGCCAGGAGCCCCCGGCCCCGCAACACCTCGCCACACCACACCCGCGCACTCGCTCCGGTGGTTGGTTGGAAAAGTCAGCATCAGACGAGCGATGCTAGAGGCTGGAATAAATACATGCGTTGGGCTCTGAAGCGACATTGTGAGTCAACAGAAGGGAGAGTCTCTGTCAATTGAAATGTACACATGGTATACTGTGCAAAAAGTGCACCTGGCATTGCATACTTTGAATAGACTGTACATGTCATCGTTATATTTAAATTAATGAGTACATGCCATAACCCTATTTTATGATGTTCTATCAGTTCACCATGCCATAGCTTATCATTTTTCCAAGTGTTGTATTCTAAATTCTTTTATTAGAAATCGGAAACACACGAAAGTTCGCGTTCAGTTGTACAAAAATAATACCGAAGAAATCTCCTGTGTGCACACACGACACGATGACGGCAGATTTGATTGGTGAGGAGCCGGATGGAGCGGTGGAGGGTACCGGGAGCCCGCCTTGCGTGTCGCCACTGCGGTCGCCTTTGCGCCACGAGGGGCCACGCCACCACAGTGCAACAACTTGGTTTGGCTTGAAAAAGCTACGAAGGGCCGGGGCCGGACGTAGTGGTGGACGGTAGCCGCCCAGCCTCGCTCCCCGCCCGGCGCTGCCCCGGCGCTGCCCGCCACCGGCGCCCAGCCCGTACCACCGGTCCTTGGCCTCGACCTCGAAGCCGTGTGCCGCCGGGGCCGCACGAACAGAGCGGGATTCAAATATTAGCCGAATGAAGGAGCAGAGAGAGAACGAACTCCGGAGAATTCGGTACAAAAACGTGCTGAGTAGTTGCGGCGGGAGCAGGGCTAGGTGAACATTGGTCAATGGCCCCTCCCAGGCGATCCCCTCAAGGGGATCCAAAAAAAAGGGGGGGGGAACTTCCATATTTTGTCCCACCTCCCACTGTGAGCTAGATCCGTCCTTTGCAAGAGCTGTTCTGCTTACCCGTGCAGGTTGAACCAGTCCAGGTTGACCAGTCGCTCCATGGCGTGCAGCGGCACCTCGTCCAGTAGGTTGTAGCTCAGGTCCAGCGAGCGTAGGTCGTCCGCCAGCGACCTGGAAATGCACAATTGATTCATGACAAATAATGTCAAAACGATTTAAATACGTTTCTAGTTTTCACTGGAAATTATACTGTGTAGAAATAAATAAAATAGTTTAGTGCGAAACCTAAGCAGGCGCGCCTGACTTTGGAGGAAATGCCCTCCAAAACAAATAAAAGAAAGCACAACTGTTTCGGGTAATGCGGGGGGATTCAGGGATAAACACACGCACACGCGCACACACACACACACCTCTGTTGAGCAGTGCTGCTGTCTGTTCGAGCCAAACACGTGTGTGCGAGGCTAGCAGCCGCTGCGACCACACCGCACTCGGCTGGGCTGTAGAGGCTTTGCTCCTCTCTCCACGCTCTCTCTCTCTCTGTCCCTCCCTCTCTCTCTCTCTCTCTCCACTGTGAGAAATACCCTCGTAAATTTACAATTTAAATTATAATTCAA